GATTAAATACCTAGCTCTATGACATTAGTCCAGTTTTCTTTACTTAAAAACTGGCTAGAGGCACCTGGGTGGCTTAGTCGGTTAATCATCTGACTCTCGATTTCGGCCCAGGTCATAATCTCATGGTTTGTGGGTTCAAGCCCCGTATTGGGTTTTGTGCTGACAGCGTGGAGTCTGGTTGGCCTTTTCTGTCTCTCTCTCTCACTCTCCCAAAATAAATAAATAGACATTAAAATAAAATAAGATAAACTAAAATAAAACAAAATAAAAACTGGCTAATTAAGGTAACCATAACTTTTTATTAAATTTGGACACTCCTTGAAAGGGGGAAAAAGGCATTTTTAATATTTATTTTGGGGACAACAGAGGAGAGCAAAATGAGATTGTTCCAGGTAAGCCATATCAAGGTGTTTATGAGGATCAAATATGACCCTAAATGTAAAGTATTAGAACAGTGTTTTCAGTGCAGATAATATTATTCCCTGAAAATGTCATTAGCCTAAACTGAAGAAATTATGTTTCATCTATTTTTCATACAGAGTTCTTATCAAGCAGGATTATATAGTCAATATGATGAAACTAAAGAATTCCTCTGTCTCAGTTTAACTAACCAAATATTTAATGCCTACTTACTATGTGTCAGCCATTGGGTACATACGTATAAATAAGATAAAGACTTTGCTTTTGAGAAATCACTGTCTAAATATGTAATGCAGTGGTTCCTCAATTAGAGCTGCATAATAGAGTCACTGGGGAGCTTTTTAAAAATTTTTATCTTTTTTAAAAGTATATTTTTTAACATTTTTATTTATTTTTGAGAGACAGAGTACAAGTGGAGGAAGGGACAGAGAGAGAGGAAGACACAGAATCCAAAGCAGGCTCCAGGCTCTGAGCTGTCAGCACAGAGGCTGATGTGGGGGTTGAACTCACCAACTGTGAGATCATGACCTGAGCTGAAGTTAGAAGCTTAACCAACTGAGCCACCCAGGCGCCTCTAGGAAGTTGTTTTTGTTTGTTTGTTTGTTTTAAATAGAAAGAAATTGATTCCCAGGTCCTGGGTGGCTCAGTCAGTAAAGCGTCCAACTCTTGATTATGCTCAGGTCATGATGACTGTTCGTTGAGTTCAAGCCCCACATTGGGGTTTGTGTAGACAGTGTGGAGCCTACTTGGGATTCTCTTTCTCTTTTCTCTCTGCCCCTCCACTTTTGCACTCTCTCTCTCAAAAATAAATATACATTTTTAAAAAATTGATGCCCTACTCCCACTTCAATTCAGTTAAATCAGAATCTCTGAGGATTGGCCCAGGCATCAATATTTGTAATGTTCCTGAGTGACTTTTAAAGGGTACAGAGGTTGTGAAGCTTTGGTTTTCTGATAGAAATAGAAAGCAAAAAATGGAAAACAATGTGGTAACTTTTGTAGCGAGGCTATGGAGATAAAGAGAAGGAAATTCCCTATTATGGGGTAGGAGAAGAGAAATCTTATGGAGAAGATAGGTGCCCTTACAGAATCTCAAGATATGTAATGGTTTTCCTAAAATATAGGAGGAAAGATAATTCCAAGATGAGAGAAATAGTCTAAAATTAATTATGGGACCTGGCATTGAAAGGTTTGTTTTTAAGAATCTTTTTATTTTTAAGTAATCTCTGCACCCAACATCGGGCTGGAACCCCAAGATCAAGAGTCACATGCTCTACTGACTGAGCCAACCAGCAGCCCCTGGGATTGAAGTGTTATGATAAGGCAGAAGCCAGATATGAAATGCTTTATATGTCCTTCTATGAAGTGTGAAATCACAAGTGATATTGCCTTAGTTCATAGTTTTATGAACATTTTAGTTGCTTATATCTTTGAAAGATATATACTATCAAAGCAGTCACTTATATAAAGAGAATACAATTACTTTTAAATAATCTCATTTCATATTTTTGAATTGGAAAATATCAGCAAAAACTTGTTCTATGTAGAAATAAATTTTTAAAATGTTTTTCTAATGATACCTGTTATGTAATTGTTGAAAAACATAGTAAAGATTCACTTATAAGTCATTTAGTAGATTTTGTTAGAATAGATGAATTCCTGTATGGGATTCATTGTTTTATTCATCCATCCAGTAAATATTTGAGTATTTACAATGTGATAGGCTTCCCAGGAAGGTGGTGGTTAAAGAACTTAAATTCTTCAAAATTTTTAGCTGCATATTGAGTTCTTACTCTCTTTAATAACTGTCTCTATCTTCAGCTGTTCTTGTATTCCATAGTATTCTGATTTAGAATTTTATATAGTTTAGAACAGTGCATTGTACTGTTGACTCTGCTGATCTATGACAAATTCATTGAACTTTTGCACAATGAGGACAATGGCAAAAATTTGAGGATATACTGAAGTCTTAAATGTGAAAGCCAAACCTAAAAACTCTTTGAATAGTATACCTGTATGATCTTGTGGTAGGGAGGGCTTTCTTAAACATGATAAATGATAAATATGACTACATTACATTTATAACTTCTTTCATCAAAAGGTGCCATAAAGAAAATGAAAAGGCAGCCTATGAAATCCAAAAAAGATGCTTACAGAACATAATATTGATAAAGGATTTATATATGAAGACAATATTAAAAAAATCATGTAAATCAGCAAGAAAAAGAAAATCTAAAAGAACGGTTGCAAAAAGACACAAATATACATTACATTACAGAAAAGGAGTAACTCAAAATCTTACAGGGGTGCCTGGGTGGCTTAGTCGGTTGAGCGTCCGACTTTCGCTTAGGTCATGATCTCGCGTTTCATGGGTTCGGGCCCCGCGTCGGGCTCTGTGCTGACTGCCAGCTCAGAGCCTGGAGCCTGTTTCAGTCTGTGACTCCCTCTCTCTCTGACCCTCCCCTGCTCACTCTGTCTCTCTCTCTCTCCCCTAGAAATAAATAAAACATTAAAAAAAGAAAAATAAGTCTTATTAAAAAAAAAGCTTACAAAAAGATAATTAATAATCAGGATCAGGAAAATGCAATCTAAACATCACAAAGTGCCAACAACTGATGGGATGGAAATTTTTAGTCATATAAAATGGAACATGCACATATCCTGTGGTTCTGCCATTCTGTTCCTAGGAAACTCTTGCAGGCCCATGCCAGGCAGCATAGAAACTAAAAACATGGTTGCACTGTTTATAATATTCCTGGTTGGTTTAAGAATAGATACTAATTAAGAAAGCCCTCAAGATCAACCCTAACCAGTAAACTAATCCAAAACCTGTGAACAACTTAAATGACCACCAGTGGGAAAATAAGTAAACTGTATAATCACACAGCAAAGTATTACACAGTTGTGAAAGTGTATGACCTCCAACTACATATAAAGAATGAATCTTGAAGACTTATGTTAACTTCTGTAAAAAGCAAGTCAAAACAGACTTTGTACTATATAACATTTTTATAAGCTCAGAAAGAAGCAAAACTAGATCATTTTTGTTTGGAAATATGTGATGAAAGTTTTTAACAAGTACAATAGAACCTTGGTTTGTGAGCATAATTTGTTCCAGAAACATGCTTGTAATCCAAAGCACTCATATATCAAAGCGAATTTCAAGAATCATTGGCTCAGTTATGATCATGTGACATTTGGCATCATGTACTACTTGTATTGCAGGTTATCACTTGTTTATCAAATTAAAATTTATTAGAAATGTTTGCTCAGGTTTATAATTGCCTTTGCAGAGGGTAGAGAGTAATAAGAGTTGGGAGACAGCATACCAAAAGATTCAAAGTACTGGTAATATGATCTTTTATGCAGCAGTGATTTCATAGTTATTAATTTTATAACCTAATATACATTCTACATATCTTTTTCTATGTACCAATTATTACCTAATAAAAATTTTAAGACAGAAAAACATTAGGCAGCTACGGTTGACCCTTTAACAACATGGGTTTAAGTTACACAAGTCTACTTATATGCAGATTTTTTTATAGTACTGAATGTCTTTTCTCTTACGATTTCCTTAACATTTTCCTTTCTCTAGTTACTTTACTATAAGGATACAGTATATAATATGCATAACATTAAAAAATATGTGTTAATTGACTTTTAGTTATTGGTAAGGCTTCGGGTCAATAGGAGGCTATTAAGTTTTGGGGAGTCAAAGTTACATATGAATTTTCCACTGTATGTGGAGGTTGGTACCCCCATCCTCACACTGTTTAAGGGCCAGCTGTGTAGGCTTACTTCCTAGAAATCAAAACTACACATGCAGTACCTGGGTGGCATAGTTGGTTAAGTTTCTGACTTGTAGTTTCTGCTCAGGCTATGATCTCATGGTTCCTGGATTTCCAGCCCCACGCTGGGCTCCACACTGCAGGTACAGAGCCTGCTTTGGATTCACTCTCTCCTCGTCTCTTTCTGCCCCTCCACTGCTTGCACTCTCTCTCCTAATAAAATAAATTTTTAAAGAGTTAAAAAAAAAACTACACAATTTAGGCAGAGTTTATTGTTAAGGATTTACATATAAATTTTATATAGTGTATATGTAGTTAATTTATAAAAAGGTAGAATTATGAAAACCTAATACTTTTACTTTTTAAAAAGGTGTTTATTTTGAGAGAGAGGGTGCGCGCGCACATGCGTGTGCACCAACAGGCAATGGGTAGAGAGAGGGGGACAGAGAGAATCCCAAGCAAGTTGTGCACTTGTAAGCACAAAGCCTGATATTGGGCTTGATCGCATGAACCATGAGATCAGGGCCTGAACTGAATTCAGGAGTCAGGTGTTCAAATGACTGAGCCACCCAAGCACCCCAAAAACAAAATACTTTCATTATTATTATCACATTAATCTTTTTATTATCACTAAACATTTTTAGTATTTATTATATAGTCAGTAAGGTTTAGTTTGAATATGTGACATCTGAAAACTTTATATTTACTAACATTTAAAATGTGAAATATATGTTTTTAAATGTCAAAAATAGTATTATGCTGAACAACTTTACTTTTCTCTTTTCCCAGGATATTATTGCCGGATTCCTATATACCATTTTAATCTTAGCTATCTTCTATCCATTTGTGGACCTGATTGACAACTTCAACCAAACTCAAAAATATTCCCCATTAATCATCATCGGGCTTCATTTAGCCTTGGGGATCTTTTCTTTCACTCTTGACACCTGGAGTACATCCCGAGGAGACACAGCTGAGATTCTAGGAAGTGGTGCTGGAATTGCATGTGGATCTCATCTTAGCCATAACGTGGGTCTAATATTAGATCCTTCTCTGGATATGCTACCGTTAGCTCTGACCCCCATTACTGTGACTGTGTTTGGAAAAGCCATACTGCGCATCTTCATCGGGATGGTATTTGTACTAATAGTCAGAGATATAATGAAAAGGATCACCATTCCTTTAGCCTGTAAAATCTTCAGTATACCATGTGATGATATTCGAAAAGCAAGACAACACATGGAAGTTGAACTTCCTTATCGGTATATTACCTATGGAATGGTTGGTTTCTCTATCACATTTTTGGTTCCTTATCTATTTTTCTTTATTGGTATCTCTTGATGCAGAAATACTGTTTATAAGAAAGGAGGGTATCAGTTACTGATATCTAAAAATATATTCTAGTTAAAAGCCAAATCAGAGGTAGGCTTTTGCAGGAATTTAACTTAAATAATTATTTAAGTAAATTCGTAAGAGTCAGTGCATCTTATCATTGCACACCCAGATATTGTTTTAGGTGAGCTGAGCTATTTTAACACTGAGAAAATGATAAGTATCCATTAGAATGTTCATGTAATGTTTGGAGAGTTTTATGCTGTTAGGAATTTGAGTTATATATAATATATATTAAGATACATAATTCACATTATGTATCTTAATATATGTTATATATGAAATAATATACCTAAGTTATTTTAAACTGTGGGGCTGTATTATAAAATCAATAATAATATGCAAACAGTGTGCCTGTATATTTGGATTTAATACAGGCATGTTGTTATTAACAGATATATTTAACATTTATTTACTATGGGAGCCATTTCCTAATTGAATTGCATAATTACTAGACCAGAATTCATATGTCACCAGATAATGTTTTACTGCCTCTTTTTACACTGCCATCATCTTTCATGTTACCCATGATGTTGAACATGGGAGGCATTTTTAATGGACCAAATTTTCAGAAAAATTAGTTTTTTTCTTTTTTTTCTTTCTTTCAGTTTTGTTTGTTTTAATTCTGTACACTGTGTTGAATGTACTTAATTTGCTGTTGTTCTGGACATCTGTTTAATAATTCAGGTACTGAATTTTATTGCTTGCTAATTGTGCCTCTCTGTTGCTGAATTAAGAAATGCCATGTATACTGTGATGCAAAAATAAGATACTATCTTTATCTTAAGTTACATATAATCAGGCAAATATTTTAAAAACACATGTCAGACTAACAGGGCTAGAAGCAAGCCACCCTCAATTCTTTAGCCTTTGTTTCGAAAGAAATGTGGAAGGGACTAAACTTTCTCACTAATTTATTGGGAAGCTAAATGGATAAATATTTCCATTTTTGTAGGTATTTTTCTGTGCATTGTAAGTCTTAGGAACAAGGTATATTTTTTGTACATTGTCTTGATTGTTTATACTGCAGGTAGATATTTCCAATGAGTGGAAATGTAGTTGAAGTTTATAGATGGAACAACGCACATGCTTAATTTGTAAAGAAACCATTTTTCTGAATTATTTGGAAAGGATTGGATTTAGCAGTGTTAACTTTTAATAACCATTTATTAGCTACTTAAGGTAAATTATAAAATCTAAAAGTATCAGTATTTTAGATCCTATTATTTTTTCAATTTTTATTATTTTCACAGTGGAAAATTTGGGTATTAAACTATTCTTTATTCTTCTGTCTGTGCCTTTATATTTTGAAGTGTAATTGTAATTAGGTTAACATTAAGTTTATTTGTAGTAAGTTTTTCTTAAAGAAGAGAATTAACTTTACATATAAATGAGCATCAGGTATGGAATTACTGACTTTAGTGCAATATCTGTCTGATTATCCAGAAGTATCACTTAAGATGTTTCTATTTTGGACAGCATAACTATTTGAGCTCATATTTTTATAATTCTGATTGAGAATTTAGGGACATGGTAATTTTTACCAACATTGAATCTGATAATTTTAAGTAAAACAACTAAATTTGGGACCTTTAGCTAATAGTTGGAAACCAAGGCATTTAGGAACATATCGGTACGTTGGAAAATGTGCAAAGAACTTTTCTTTCAAAATGTGTTTAATGAACTGAATTTTAGAAACTATTTACCATAATTTGGGTCTATGCTATCTTATTAATTTTTATATCTAGCTTAAAAGGTATTTGAAAATATGCCATTTTTTTGTGATTTATTATTTTCTGTCCTATGATAGCTCCATGCTAAATGTATTTTAAAATAAAAGTCACATTCAGAATTGAAGGGTATTTTGTTTGCCTTCTATGCATTTGTTCTCTGTATTATCTGATAGAGATTTATAAAATATATTTAGGATTTTCATTCTAGTAGGCTTTTCCTCTGAAGCATTTTACTCAAAACCAGAGTTCTGTTTTCAGTAATAGAAGACATCAAAGAAATTCTTTAGGGTTCAAACTGATTTGGGGCTCCAATTGTGATCATTCTGACATTGTACTTGTAGTAGAAAGTTTCATAATATTTAAGAAACACGAATAAAATGTTTCAGCAAAATCTGTGGCCAGTAGTATTATAGGAAGTTGACTGCCAATTCATTGTTTTAAGAATTAAACACAATATTAGGAACAGGGTTTTGGTTTTGTTAATGTTTATTTTTTTTTTAATATTTTTATTTATTTCTAGGAGAGAGAGAGACAGCGTGAGCAGGGGAGGGTCAGAGAAAGAGGGAGACACAGACTCTGAAATAGGCTCCAGGCTCTGAGCTAGCTGTCAGCACAGAGCCCAGCGTGAGGCTCAAACTCATGAATGGTGAGATCATGACAGCTGAAATTGGATGCTTAACCGATTGAGCCACCCAGGCGCCCCAAGAACAGGGTTTAAAATTTTCATAAAATATTCCATAAAGGAGTAAATACTAGAATATTTTTATTTTGAATATATGATCACATAATTTCATACTGCAAAGATTTTTTTATTGGCAAAACAGTTTCATTCTTGTTAACAAAGAACATTTTCACTAGATTTAAAAATCTGTTTAATCTGGACATGAGTAAGGACCAATTTTTAAAATTCAACTTAAAAGCTGAATTAGTTTTTCTAAGGGAGTTTTTATTGTTTGCTAAAGAGATTTTTTTGGAAAGGAAACAAGCAATATTTTGAAAAGAGTACTGTAACTGGATATAGTGGATGGTACCATACAGGATATTTTGTCAGATTTTGGTCATGTTCTTCCAGTTTCTCCTGTAGTATACATAAGTTAGAAAGGGAAAACAAAACAAAACCTCTTTACACTTGAATTTTAATTGTGGTTACATAAGCTGAAAATAGCACAATAAAAATAAGTTTTAACATGCTAACTGTAAAGGATATTTTATTTTTTATTAAAAAAATGTTTTTAGGGGTGCCTGGGTGGCTCAGTCGGTTGGGCATCCGACTTCGGCTCAGGTCATGATCTCGGCATTCGTGGGTTCGAGCCCTGCGTCGGGCTCTATACTGACAGCCAGCTCAGAGCCTGGAGTCTGTTTCAGATTCTGTGTGTGTGTGTGTGTCTCTCTTTCAGAAACAAATAAAACATTAAAAACATTTTTAAACATTTTTAAATGTTTTTAATGTTTTATTTGTTTCTGAAAGAGAGAGAGACAGCATGAGTAGGGGAGAGTCAGAGAGAGAGGGAGAGACAGAATCTGAAATAGGCTCCAGGCTCTGAGCTAGCTGCCAGCACAGAGCCTGACTTGGGGCTCTAACCCACGAACTGTGAGATCATGACCTCAGCTGAAGTTGCATGCTTAACCAACTGAGCCACTGTGCCCATATAAAGTACATTTTAGAAAACTCCATTTTTAAGCCCACTACAAGTCTTTATAAACAAAGCATGCCTTGCTTATGAGACACACAGGAGGGAAAACTCAAAGAAAAATAGAAGAAACGTTTTTTAAAATAAATATGTTTCCAGAAATAAACACTAATTTGTTAACCTCAACTAGCTGGCATTTTATAAATTTGTTTTTTTCCTTTCATCATCTCTAGTCTTGGTGCATTTTTTTAAAATGTTTATTTATTTTTGAGAGAGAGACAGAGTGCAAGTGGGGGAGGAGCAGAGAGAGAGGAGACACAGAATCCAAAGCAGGATATGGGCTCTGAGGCTCTGAGCTGTCAGGACAGAGCCTGATTGCCACGACTGTGAGATTATGACTTGAGCCGAAGTCGGAAGCCTAACCGACTGAGCCACCCAGGCACCCCTAGTCTTAGTGCATTTTCCACGGATATTTAAAAACTCCAGCTCCTAGCACTGCAACCAACAAGATATGACAGAATATGTTTGTATTTTAGGAGGTTCCTCCCATTTTCTGAAAGCCAAATGAATTGTGAAATTGCTTTGTGACCTTTACTAACCGATTATATCATGATGTCTACAACATCATTAGCTTTACGTCACAAAGTCCATGATCTCAGGTTTTAAAAGTTCATACACTTACCTATTATGCTATTTGCAGTATTTGTTTGATTTAATACATGTTTTTTTAAGTTTTCCTTGTTACATAATGACCTTTTCTTATGAGATATAAAATGGATTCTTTGGGAAAAAATTACAATAGTATTACCTTTCCAGATTTGAGGTTTATCCTTTGTCCTGTCTTAACTGCAATCCCATTATAGCATATATCAAAACCTGAGATTCTCTTGCTTATGTATTCTTGACTTTAAATTTTCTGTCTATGCTATAAGCTCCATGAACAAAAAGTAGCTTGTGCCTCTACTTACTTCTGGGTCCCTGGGACACAGCAAATATTCGATTAACATGTTAGTTTGTGCATTTTTCTGGGGGAAAAATTCTGCAACTTCCAACGGGTTTTCAAAGAGATTAATGATCTAAAAATGTCCAAAAAAATATGTAATAGTTTACTTTTTACATGTTTTAGCTGTTTTAAAACTTTAGGTTGTAAATAAATGCTTCCAATGTATCTGGTAGGAATTTTATAACTTTATGCAAATATTTAAAGGATAGTTTAGATTCTTGAAATGTTTTGCCTATAATTACTTCAGTGTCCTGTTTTATAGAATGTGCTTTATATCCAAATTAAGATATTATCTATTTTTTTTTAGGTTTATTTATTTTGAGAGAGAGAGTGCATGAGTGGGTCAGGGGCAGAGAGAGAGAGAGAAAAGATCCCAAGCAGGTTCTGCCTTGTCAGTGCAGAGCCTGATTCGGGCTTGAACTCACAAACCATGAGATCGTGACCTGAGTGGAAGTCGGACACTTAACCGACTGAGCCACCCAGGCGCCCCTAAAGTCCCCTCTTTTTATCTGGGTTGATTTAGGGATGAAATTTGCCAAACTTTTATTTTATTTTATTTTATTTTTTAATAGTTTATTGTCAAGTTGGTTTCCATGCCAAACTTATTTTAATGGATAGTGTTACTTTTGCTCATTTCTGACTGAAGTACTATGCTAACAGCCTTGAAATAGTAAACATAAAAACACCTTCAACATTTTCCACTCTACAAAATATTTCAAATAGTGTTACAAGATAAAAATTTTAAAAACATTTGGCAGTATATTCCCAAAATCTTATTTAACTTATTTATGGACACAAGCTGTAAATTTTTTAAATTAACGTATAACTTCTAAGTATATACCATAATCTATAAGTAACATTGATCAATTATAAGCCCAAATACAGCATTTACATCTGAAATGTCTTTTCTACCTTTCCTAAAAATCATCTACATTTTCCCACATTATATATGTTAAGGGGATTATAGAATTATAAAACATTTTAGATCTATATAGTATTGTAGAACTCATATATGGCAACTCCATTCCAAATTCATAAATCTGTAATATTAGTAGATACAGGGATACCTCAGATATATTGTGGATTTGGTTTCAGATCACTGCCGTAAAGTGAATATCACAATAAAGGGAGTCAAATCAATTTTTTGGTTTACCAAAAAGTGCATTTAAAAGTCATGTCTACAGTATACTATAGTCTATTAAGTGTGCAATAGCATTACACCTAAAAAAATTCCAATTTACATATCTTAATTTAAAAATACTTTATTGCTAAAAAATGCTAACCATCATCTGAGCTTTCAATGTGTCTGTAATCACTAATCATCATCATCATCATAATGAAAGAGTTTAAAATACTTCAAGAATTACTAAAATGTGACACACAGACACAAAGTGAGCAAATGCTGCTGGAAAAACGGTGCTGATTGGTTCAACACAGGATTGCCACAAAACTTCAATTTGTAAAAAACAAAACCCACAATATCTGTGAGATGCAATTAAAATGAGGTATGCCTGTAATTATGTGCAATCTTAATTACTTCCTCAGTCAAGCAGACTACAGCTTTATGATGCAGTGTTGAACAGTTCTAAGTGAATGAACACTTGGATGGGCTGAGCCATGTGGTGGGGAAAAGGATACGTTTTTGGTAGAAGCAATGAGCAGAACCAAAGCACAGAAATGGGAGGGTGTTAGACATGTTTAGCAAACAAATGCATTGCAGGTTGTCAGGTACCTTGAAGAGAGTAGTAGGATATGAAGTTGAAAAGTTTGTTAAAATGTTTAATAAGAAATGAATAGAAATAATGAAGTGTTGCCTTTCTTCACCAGTAGAAGAGCTGCTGTGTTTATTACTCACTTAGCTCAGGGATGAAATTAAACCCAGCTTGAAGGTAATCAAAACTATTGTTTGATAGATACTTAAG